GAGGGTATTTCCATCTGGTTGCATAGCGGAGGGTATTTCCATCTGGTTGCATAGCGGAGGGTATTTCCATCTGTCTTCAGTGAACTTTTGATAGCTCACCCACAAATATTTCAGAAGTCTTGGATCTGTCTAGAACAGACAACAGCTCCAAAGTTGCCTAGTCCAACATGATTCACCAGCCAATTCTGCTTCTTCCAAACCTCAATCCTAAATCAACCCTAAATAATCTCTTTTACTTCCTTCTCTACCTTATAGCAACTGTTATGTGAAACTATAAAAACTGTTTTGTGGCTAGTTATCAGGTTATCATTTGAGGCAAATTCTCTCCAGCCTCTTTCTGAAGTTCTCTAATGAAGGGGAAAATATCACTTCATGACACAACCTGCTCTGCTGGTTGACAGCTTTCATTTTATCCCTCTTTAGTCTACTCTTCTGTTATATAAACATACCCAGTTTCTTTAACCATTTTCAAAGAATTTGGTTTCCAGTTCCCTCACTTTCTTGATAGCTTTCATCTGAACTTGTTCCACTTTGTTGATGTCTAATTACACATGCTTGTCCCAGCATTCAAAGCGGGGTGTGACCAAGACAGTGTAGAGTAGAACAATTATATCCCATGATTTGATCTCCATGCGTCCCAGGATAACATTTGCTGACTCACATAGATCAACTTGGGACACTAAAACACATGTACTACTTTTCACATATACTGCTGCCAAACCAATACCCAAAGTACTTCTGTGCTTTGTGTTTTTCAAGGTTTTTTTTCCCCTTCAGATATAGGACATCATATTTTTTTCTGTTAAATTTCATCTTGTTTATTTCACTTTTCTGTTCAAGCCCATCCAGATCTTTCTGAATCTTCTTTTTCTCATCTAAAGTGTTAGTCACGTCAAACTGTTGCATTCTTTCCCAAGGATGTTACCCAATTAACTGCTCTGTAATTTACCAGGCCCTCCTTGTTTTGAAGAAAAGAGCTATACTTGTTCTTGTGCTCCTCCAGTTTTGTGGACTTTGCCAGTTGTCTAGGAATTCCCAAAAATTAAAAGTTGAATAGGAATGGAATTAAGTAAAACAGCTGAACAGGATGCATTCCAACTTTTTAATAATTAAGGCAGCTTTCCTTTATATCTGGTCAAATATGTTCTTGGGTAACAGGTCTGGAGGGAATCCCCTCTACCATATACATGTTTATCCCATTGACCTCTGGGCAGCTAATAATTAAACATAAAAAAGATGGTCGACAAATCTACTCTTCATGAAGCTGATGAAATCCTGTGCAGGTAGACATGGCAAAGGTCTAGGTCTGATGAGGCTTGCATCCTTGTAACTCTACCTAAAAATTATGAACTTCACATGATTTTCACATGAGCTCTACCCTGATAGTTTCTCTTGGTATATAATAATAAAAGTATGGGACAACCGGTGAGGGTGCAAACTGTTTCAAAGAAGGTTGTAGATCCAGGCCATCATATTATATTAGTACAAAACTACTGCACTCCACAGCTGAAATTTTTTTCAAGAACTATCCTGGACCATTTATACAAAATAAATTATATTTTATTCAATTGAATGAAAACTAGTTTTTAAAAAAGGGCAGGACACTCTCTCTATCTTATATAATGGCACATGTAAACTACTGCAGCCCTATTACCCAGCCCAGTTCCATTGGATCAAGGTACATTAAATTCAGCATGCCTTTAAAAATTATGCCTATAATCTTATTGTATGCTTGCCTTCATGCTGCGTTATGTGCAAAGGATACAAGGAAAAAAAACAGCTCTGAAAAGCCAGAAGATGAGAGATTCTCCCCAGCTGCTTGTGATACTGCAGTGCAGCAGTGGGTCCAAGTGCTGGCTGCAGGCCACTGGTGCTTTTGAGAATCCAGCCCAGGATTGGCATTCCACTATATGCAACCTTTTCTCCAATATATTTATTCTAGGGGTGCTTAGGTAGTTACTAATGCCATGGTCTTGTTCCCACTTTCTCTCACTGTCAAGGATTGTGCTCCATGGAGAGATGCTTATAAATACCACCACGCTGGGCTCAGCCAAAATCTTTGATTTTCAAAGTGCCTTCTCCATGACTGAAGAACAGGTTTGTTTTGAAGCATTGGGTGATGCATGCTCCAGGGAAACTTTCTCAAGGTCCTTTATCTTTGGGACCTGCCAGGACTTGTGGCAACAAAGGGGAAAGAGGAATGGAAGTGGGTTCAATCAGGAAAGAAGAAGGGAAGAACTGAGACCAAGGTAAACCAAGAAGGGAAAATAAAGCAATGGGTAGTAAAGCAATTTCCCACTACTTGTCCTCCATTGATGCTGATCAGATTCTTATGAGCAAAGATGCAGTGAGAGTGGAAGCAAGCAAGAATTCCTATTTCTAAAGCAGCCTTCCCCACTGACCTCCCAGTATGTTGGAACTGTAATTGCTACAATTCCCGGTTGGCCTTAGCAAGTGTTTGTGTAGGTAGAGTTGGTCATCCATAGGCAAATTTTGGCCTATGAGTTTTTACACAAATTTTTTGTGTGTGTGTGTGTCTGCTTCTCTAAATATCACCAATTTGTCTTCAGAAAAATTAAGGCTACTTTACCACCCTTGATTTATGAATGGTTGCTTAGTGACCATTTTGAAAACACCGCCAACCCCAAAAAAGCCTTTTAACAATCACTGTGTTTGTTTAACAACCAACTGCTTCTATACCTTCAGAAATATGGTCTACGCCAGGGGTCCCCAAACTTGGCAACTTTAAGACTTGTGGACTTCAACTCCCAGAATTCCTCAGCCA